GGGCACAGATTCCATTGGGATTATCTGCCTTCTTGATTTTCCATTTGCCTTGAATTTGAGGATTCCTTTGAAAGATCCAAATAGATGCACGGGTTTCAAATTGTATAGGGTTACAGTAGACATTCGTTTAACAGACAAGTCCTTTTTTGTCATGATTTTTGAAATAGTTAATATGTACAGGCCCACCCTGAACCAGAACAGTGGAATCAAGCCTAGAAGAAGGTGAGCAGGAAGACAGTCCTCAAAGGGATCCATACACCTGGGGAATGGGGAGGAAACAGGATACAGAGGTGAAAATTGGCAGTGGGAAGATGGAAAGGAAGAGAACATAGATAGGAGAGGCTAGGGTGGAGTCTCAGCCAGCTAGGCTCCACCTGCGCTCCTCCCTTTGCTCTGTATGTGGCCTGGGGCAAGAGATTTAATAACTCTGAGTCTCAGTTTTCTCATCTGTAAACTCAGTATGAAAACTATCTGCTGCATAAGGTTCTGGTAAAGATAAACGGGATCCTTCCTCTATAAAACCGAGCACATAATGGGTACTAAGTAGGTGGTCTCTCTTATTAACATTCTTGCAGGCAGCTTCCAAGAAGGTCACTGTGCTTTTTTTAAAAAAAGAGAGAGAGAGAGAATTTTAATATTTATTTTTTAGTTATCGGCGGACACAACATCTTTATTCGTATGTGGTGCTGAGGATCGAACCCGGGCCGCACGCATGCCAGGCAAGCGCGCTAACGCTTGAGCCACATCCCCAGCCCCTCACTGTGCTTCTTGACTCTGGGTACTCACAGCCTTGCGCAGTCCCCTCCAACAATGCAGTGCTGGCCTATGTGACCAGCAGAGAACCCCAAAAGTGACCGAATGTGAAGCTCTGAGGCTTCACAAAAGGTCTAGCAGCTTCTGCCCTAGTATCTCAGATCACTTGCTTTGGATGAAACAAACTACCTCACCCTGCACACTCCAGCAGCCTCGGGGTACAACTCTTCTAACCTTTTGAGCTCGCTGTCTTTGAAGTTGGTCTTTCAGTCCCAGCCAGACCTTCAGATGACTGTCTCCTCAGCCAACATCTGACTGCAACTTCATGAGCGGCCCTTAGCAGAGACAACTGATTCCCATCCCAAAGAAACTGTTAGATGGGATGAATCAATATTGTTGTTTTATGACACTAAGGTTTGTTGTTCTGCAGCAACGAGTAACTCATCCAGGAGGGTGATATTAATGAATGCTACACAACCATGTTCTAAAACTCAGTGACTTGAAAATAACAGAAATCATTTATTGATAGCAGTTTCCGTAGGTCAGAAAATCAGGTAAGGCACAACAGGACTGGCTTATCTTTGTTTTATGATGTCCTGGGGATCAAGTGACACTTGAAAGCTGGGTCTGGAATCCTCTGAGGGCTCATTCACTTGCATATCTAGTAGTTGATATGGGAGGAAAGCTGAGGGCCTGTTGCACCCATTATTATAGGCTGAATGGCGTCCCCCACCAGATTCATATGTGGAAGCCCTAACCCCCAGTACCTCAGAATGTGACTGTATGTGAAGATAAAGTCTTTAAGTAGTAATTAAATTAAAAAGAAGTGGTTAGGTTTGTGTTAGGGGTAAGCCCTGATTCAATCTGACTGGTGGTCTTATAAGGAGACTAGGACCTAAAAGACACCAAGGATGTGCTCAGAGAAAAGACCACGTAGAGATACAATGAGGAGAAGGCAGCAATCTACAAGCCATGGAGAGAGACCTCAGAAGAAATCAACACCTTGATCTTGGACTTCCAGACTCTAGAACTGAGAAAATGAGTTTCTGTTGTCTAAGCCACACAGACTGTGGTATTTTGGTACATAAGCCCTAGCAAACTAACATAGTCAAGCATGTCCTGTGTGTGTGTGTGTGTGTGTGTGTGTGTGTTCCAAAAACAATGAGGAGGGAGGAGAGAATCATCATCAGCTGGCCATGGCTGGCTTTCTTGTAGAGAACCATGAACTCAACATAGGAGCTTTTAAAAACTACGAACAATTTATATCTAAAAATCACAGAACAATAAATGCTCGTTGCGGAGATAAATATACACAGATGAAAATGTAAGCACGTGTAATCTCAACACTCCAGGTAATCCATCCTCCACACCTTGCTGACATCCTGCTGAGCTCTTTTCCATAAGCATACTCTTTTATTAAAAGGTACTATATTGAGGCCAGGTGTGGTGGCTCATGCCTGTAATCCTAGCAGCTTGGGAGGCTAAGATAGGAGGATCTTGAGTTCAAAGCCATCCTCAGCAATGACAAGGCACTTAGCAACTCAGTGAAACCCTGTCTCTAAAATAAAAAATAGTGCTGGGGGTATGGCTCAGTGGTTGAGTGCCCCTGAGTTCAATCCCTGGTACCAAAAAAAAAAAAAAAAGAGGTACAATATTGAATGCTTCATGTTGGTTTTATTACATTTGATGCAATTTGAAATGTCTCACAACATTAAGTAAATATTATTTTACAACATAATTTTAATGATTTCTTAGACTGGCCATAATTTTATATAATCAATTCTATTTGAGGAATCAAACTGTTTCCAAGGGTTTTTTTCCTTCTTTAAATTTTGAAGGAATTATATATTCATAAGAAGTCTCAAAAATAGTATAGAGAGGCTTCATAGAACCTCTGTCTAGTTTCCCCCAGTGATTCCATCTTACATAAGTTTTGTACATTACCAAATTCAGAAATTTGACGCTTGTATTGAGTTTGTCTAGTTATATGTCATTTTATTACATCTGTCGATTTGTGAACCCAGCACCATAATCAAGATATAAAACAATTCTATCACCACAAAATGTCCCTCCTGCTACCCCCTACATTATCACATCTACTACTTACTCCCCCCCAAACCCTGACAACCACTTATATTTTCTCCATCCCTCTACTGTTAAGAATGCTACATAAATGGAACCATACATTATGTAACCTTTTGAGAATGACTTTTTTTCACCTAGCACAGTGCTTAATTGTTATATGTCTCAATTGTTTTTGTTATCTTTTTATTGCTGAGTGGTATTCTGTAGTATAGATATATCATAGTTTGTCTTTCCAATCACCAATAGAAGCACAGCTTATTTATTATTGGGAAGTTGTAAATAAGGAAGTCATGAACAAATTGCGCACCAGATTTTTGTGTGAACACGAGTTTCCATTTATCTGGGATAAATTCCTAGGGGTATGAATCATATAGGTGTATGTTTGTTTTTCTTTTTTCAGTGGCAGGGGGAAAAGCAGGGATTGAACACAGGGAACACTTAACCACTGAGCCACATCCCTAGCCCTTTTTATTCTGAGACAGGGTCTTGTTAACTTGCTCAGGGCCTTGCTAAATTGCTGAGGCTGGCCTCAAACTTGCAACCCTACTGGCTCAGCCTTCCAAACCACTGCACTCAGCTCATTTTTTAAAAAGAAATTACCAAACAATTCCCACCAGCAATGTATGAGAGCCCACACTCACCAGCATTTGGAATTGGCATCATTTTTTTTTAAAGTGTAGCTGTTCTAATAGATGTATGATGATATTCCACTGTGGTCTTAATTTGTACTTCCTTAATGGATAGTGATGAACATCTTCACATGTGCTTTTTTGCCATCTGGATAACCACTTTGGTAAAATATCTATTCATTTCTTTTGCCTATTTAAAAATTTATGGCCCAGGATACATTTTATCTTTACACACACACACACACCAAGGATACTTTAAAATTATGTGTATTCTGTTGTTCAGAGAAATATTTTGTAAATATCTATTAGACCAAGCTGGGCTTTTCTATATTCTTGCTGACCTGTCTAGTTGTTCTTTCAATTGTTGAGAGAAGGATGTTGAAGTTTCCAATTATAATTGCAGATTTGTATATTTGTACCTTTAGTTCTACTAGTATTTGATTCATTTACTTTAAAGGTCAGTTGTTAGATACATTGACATATTGGTTTATGATGTCTTCTTGACCTTTTTAATCAATTGTCTCTCTTTTTTCCCTAATAATTTTTGTAATTATCTCTTTTTTATCCCTAGTAATTTTCCTTGCTCTTGATTCCACTCTATCTGTAATTAGTCTTTTGATTTATTGTCATTATAAACAACACTGTTCTGTCTTTGCAGTCATCCACAATTATTATAATTTCTTGGTTAGAGGCTTTTGACTACTTGTTTTTAAAAGCTTCGGACTATTGAAAAATTGCCCTGAATAAATTTACTGCCTCAACACTTGGACATTATCATCTGAAGATATAAATTACAATTATAAAGTTATAATTATAAATGAACAATTATAAATTAATGACAGGTTTTCCTAACTTGATGTTAGAAAATACAGAAATAACTTTGTGGAGTTGGAGGTCCTGGTTAGTGGATCTCTAAATGACTTAAATTCATAAATCAAACATAGGGACATATGCATATTCTGAGAGCAGCAAATGCCAGTTGCAACATCCATAAGAACTGGGAGCAGTTGCCCTTAGGAGCTGGTGGCCCGGGTGGGATAGGATGGGGTGGATGATTGGAACACTTGGAAAGGAATGGCGTTTTTGTATTCAAGTTCCCTGTAGCACATTTTTAAAAATTATGTCAAGGTATTAGTCATTTTGCCTTTACAAGTGACATTTGGTTACTGTTGTAATTTTCACTTAAATTTATTATCAACTTCTATAATCCTGTATGCCTAACGCCAAGTGTAAGCTTGGGGCATTGACTAACTCCCAAGACTGTATAGGCTGACAGGTCGGGTTGTCCTCCCAGCAAACTACAACTCCCAGGACTCCACGAGCCTAGGGGTGGTCCCGGCCGAGGCTTGGACAGAGGAGTCCGCGCCTGCGCACGCGTACAGGCTCCCGCGCTGGGCTGGCCAGCCGGGCAGGCGCACGCCGGTACCTGTGAGCCGGCAGCTGGCGGCTGACGGGACCGGGTGGACGATCCTCGTTCACTGCCTGGGCCGCCCCGAGTTGGATGGGCGGCGGCGGCGGCGTGGGAAAGCCAGTGCAGCAGAGGGGCCGCCCGGACGCGCAGGCCGGGCTTCAGGTGAGGCGCACGGTCGGGGCGGGCGCGAACTCCGCGACCCGGCTGAGGTTTGGAGTGGAGGGTTCGGCCCCACGACCTCCTGAGGAAGGGACTCGCGGGGTGCCGGGCCCTGGAGTGAAGGCGAAGCGTTAGACGCCTTCAGGAGCCCGAGAGTTTGCAGAACGGAGAAGTGACGTGTGTGCGGACTGGAGGAGGCGCGGGCGGTGGGCGGGGCGGGGGAGGGTCCTCCGGGGCCCGGGGGCCGTGGGTCGGGCAGGGACTGTCCTGCCTAAGCCCTTAGCTCGTGGCGTGCCCTGACAGCCGGTCCTCACGCCCTTTTCCTTTGGGAAGGATGGTGCGCATTTAATGAGGGTGGCGCGGAGCCAGGCGAGGTGCCTGTAGCGACCCTGGGCCGCCGGAGCTGCCTTTAAAGGCAATACCTGGGCAGGCCTGCAGCTGACCCCGAGTCCCTTGGGCTCAATAGGACACCAACCGAGAAATCAGTGGTAAGAGCCTGCTGTGGCCTGACTGACAGTGCCAGTGTAGCCATGATGGAGGCACCCCAGTGGGCTCCTGTGTAGAAACCCGTCTCCTGGTCACTGACCAGACTTCATTGCTATTAAAGTATGGGACCCTCATCCGGAGCCCTGCAGCAGGTGGTGAGCAACCAGTGTCCACTTACTTTATGCCAGCCAGCTCTCAGAGCTTACTCTTAGGAGAAATGGCCCCGCATGGGAAAAGAGGACTTAAGCTTTATGGAGTGAGCTTGATTAGAGTTCAGTAGCTAAGAGCACAGACAGACCAGGGTTCGTTCACCAAATGTTTATGGTTACATGTGCTGAACATTAAAAAGTTGGCTCATTTACTAGCTGTGTGCCCTTTACCAACTCATTTATCCTGTCTGATCCTGTTTTTTTTTTTTTTTTTCCTCTGTAAAATTGGGATGGAATACCTTCATCACAAGGTTGCTGTGAGGATTAAATGAATCCTCAAGCAAGTTTTCAGCCCTGGATCTGGAATAGTGTGAGTGCACAGCCAATGTCAGCAGCCATGTTTGCTAACGATAGAGTGTTAGAGGTGAGATTGGGACCCAGGTATGTTTTTACTGGAACTAGTTGCCATGGATCTTGGAAGTTTTCCAATTCATCTTTTCACATTACAGATGAGGGCTCTGAATCCCAGGTGGTGGCAGAGTCAGGAAAGAACTTAAGTTCCCTCCCTGCATCCTTAGAGAGGCTAGCATGTCAGAGCTTGAGTGTTGAGTCCCTGTGGGAGGAGAGGAGGGAAGAGTGGAGATCCTCAGCAGAGAAAAGGAAGAGTACTTGTTACTGGGTCATGGTGGCCATATGAGCATCCTGATCATCTCAGTGTGTTGGGATATCAGGGCAGCTTCGTGTGTTTCTAACTGGCCTTCTGCTTGGCAAGTGCTTGCTTTGAGCCTTGCTTCAGAAAATAGCAGTAATAGGCTGGGTGCAGTGACTCACATCTGTAATCCCAGCAACTCAGAAGGCTGAGGCAGGAGGATCACAGACAAGTTCAAGGCCAGTGTCTGCAACTTAGTGAGACCCTGTCTCCAAATAAAATTTTAAAAGGGACTGGAGGTATGTTCTACTGAATGTTAAGCTTACCAGGAAATTAAATTACAAAATGCCTCATTCCCCAAGAGGCCTCATCTATCTCAGCTTGCTTGTCAGAGGGTATACTCTCCTCCAGGATCTGCTGATCATATAATTCCCAGGGTTTTTCAAATTGGATGACATAATGTTGTGAAAGGAAGAATCCAGAGATATCATCCTGGGCTTTGGAAGCAGACTTGGATTCAAATCCCAAGCCCCCCCCCCCTTAATAGGAACATCCTTCCTTGAGTGTGAAATGGAATTAATAACACCTCCTTTAGGTGGTGTGTAGTAGGGGGTCATTGAGATCTTCCATGTAAAGTGCTTAGCTTGGCATAGAGTAAGAGCCAGTAAATAGGAATTGTTATATTACTATTATTGTTAATATGATGAGAATAATTGTCAGGTACTGTGCTTTGCTTGTGTTGTCTCTTTGAATTCACAAAGCCAGAACCTCCTTGTGAAGTGAGTATAATTGGGTCTGTTTTCCAGAGCAGGAAGTGGAGGCCTTGGAGGGTTTGAGGTTTGGCCTGTCACATAGCTAAGTGACAGGTGAGGAACTCAGAAGCTGGCATCTCCAGTCCCAGAACTGGTACCATTTAATCCTTCTGTTCCTCTGCCTGTGTTTTTTGCCATTCTTGAAGCCAATCTGATCCGGGGCAGCCTCCAGTGCTGCAGCAGGGGTCTCCTGGCACCACTTGCAGAGCCCTGCAGCCTGGCTGCTCCTGTGTTTCCTCCTGCTGATGGATGAGTGGCGACAGCCAAGGAGGGCATCCCCTCGGTGAGTTCAGGAGGAGGGGTTAGGAGGAGGCAAACCCTGTGGCCTCTCATCACAGAGACACAGGGTGGGTGTGGCTGCAGTCTGGCTGGGACCTGGAAGGCTTGGTTATGAGAAGAATACCCTTGTTTCGCTGCTGGGACATGTCAGAGCTGCATGGTTTGTCTCTGGGCTGATCTCTGTTTTGAGAAGAAGGCAGCTCTTGAGCATTGGGTATGAGAGAAGGACTCAAGAGCCAGCTGGCCATCATTTTCATTCTCGCTGCCTGTAAGACCTCACACTACCTCTCAAAACCTCTTTGGTGAAATAAAAGAGTTGGAGAAAATCATTTCTAAGGGCTCTTTTAGCTCTAAAAAGCGGTGGTTTTGTAATTGTATATTGATGCTGTAACCATCTCAGCACAGCACCAGGGCACAGCAGCTGGGACAATTATCACCCCAGTGTGTTGCCTAGACTCTCCTTGGGGTGAGAGAATGGCCACAGCTCCCTAAGCCACCTGCCACAGCCTGGTACTCTCGCTGCCTGGCTGGATGGGGAGTAATTACAGCAAGAAGCCTTGGGTTGCTAAGCTACCATCTATGGCCTGTGGATCTGTGTTTCCAGAGCCATCCACACCTACTCTGCCCTTAAGTAATAAAAGCTTACTGCTCTGAGGTCTGTCCTGCTTCTTGGCCACTGATTGTTCCTTCAAGTCTGAAGGACAGATGAACACACTTCTGAAGAACAAGGTGAAGATGCCTAAAATCAGAGGCAGGTCCTAATCCTGGTGCCTCTGAGACCTTAAGCAAGTACTTAACCCTACTAAGCCTCAGTTTTCTATTATCAAAAGAAAATAGAGGGCTGGTGAGATAGTTCAGTGATAAAGCTCTTGGCTAGAATGTGCAAGATCCTGGGTTTGGTCCCCAGCACCCTCCAAAATAAATAAATTAACTAATTTAAAATTTAAAAAGAGAAAAAGAAAGTGGGGGAGAAATATTTGTACCTGCATTGGAAGGCTTTTGTGAGGCTTAAATGAAATAGGGCATGAAGAGGGCCTAGGATAGTGTCTCAAACATACTAGATGCTCAATAAAATTAAATAGTGGTAGAATTGATATTCCTCCCTGCCACAGAGGCCAACAGTTTCTTTTCCTTAGCTCTCCTAGAGAGAGAGCAAGCTTTCCATTTTTTTCTGGCTTCCCATATCTTCACTGGTGCCTAGCCAGTGCCCAGCATCTAAAAGTCAGATTTTTCACTCTGCCACTTGGGACTGTTGGTACAGTCTTATGCTGTTTTGGTCATTTTTATTTTTTTTTTTGCTTCTGTGACTGAAGGATCTGACCAGAACAACTGTAAGGAAGAAAAGTTTGAGGGCTCATGGTTTCAGAGGTCTTAGTACATAGAAGACCAGTTTCATTCCTCGGGGCTCGAGGTGAGGCTGAACATCATGGCAGGAGAAGGTGGCAGGGGGAAGCAGCTCACATCAGGAAACAGAGAAACTCTACTCGCCAGATACAAATATACACCCAAAGCTATGCCCCAGTCCTTACCCTACCACTTCAGTTAATCCCATCAGGGATTAACTCATGTTAAGGCTAAGGCTGTAACCCAATCATTTCTCCTCCAAAATTTTCTTGCATTGTCTCTCATGTAAGCTTTTGGAGGACATTTCCTATCCAAACCATAACATATGCCAAGAGTTTGTTTCTTTTCTCCATCTTGCAAAACATAGAAGAGGTCCCTTCCTCTATTGAACACAATAAGAATTACCTGGAAGTTTTATTAAAATGTTCCTGGGACCTACTCTGAGAGAGACTCTGATTCAGTAGGTCCATATTTCTAATATCCCGGGTCATGCAGATACTGCCAGTCTTGTTTAGGAGGATCCCATGACCAGCACTTCTCTCCCCTGTGCAGAAGCCCTGGCAGTTTGATCTTGTTTTGCTGGGCCATTTCCAAGCAAGGGATCACTGGCCCTGCCCTGCTCAAACAGCCCTAACCTTGGAGTTGTGCTGCCTGCCCATGGCTTCTCTCTGTAGTTGCTGGAGCAGCCCTCATGGCTATACTGGAGCAGGGCAGGGTATGGGAGTTAGTGAACCTGCATTCCATGCTTATGCTTAGATGCCCGTATCACATGTGTCACCCTCAAGCACATGCAAGTCCTCACAAATAGAAAGGGTTGTACCCCATCCCTTTGGAGCAGCCTCACTCTTGTCACCCAGCCCCTCAGAGGCTTGAAGAATGCTGTGGGTCTAGAGGCTTCCTTTCTCCAGGGAATCTTCCCTCCTCCTCTGAACAGTCTATATAGTGCAGGTTTCTTGATCTTTCCTCATCCTGGCTGCCCCAAGGTGAGTCTCTCAGAAAGAGCCACATAGAGCAGGTTGTCTGAATGGTTAAGTGGGTAGGCTGATTCCTGACAAAAATGCATACTCTGAACTCGATCATAAGGAAACATCAAGGCAAACCCAAATTGAGGAACATACTAGAAAATAACCATCTTTGACTTAAAAATTGCCAAGGTCATAAAAGTCACAGAAAGACTGAGACACCTGCCCCAGATTAGAGGGGACCAGAAAGACATTGTGGATGTCATGCTTCGTCCTTGATTGGATTCTGTACCACAAAATAGAGACCACAGATTAATAATAG